GTATCTCCAGATACTGAGCTGATTCCGGACATGGTGACGGGATCGATCAATGGCATTTCTGGTGTTGTCAATTTCGAGATGTAATTTATTTTTGGGATTACGAGCTTCGTGTTTTAGAGCTCCGTCACTAGCGTCGGCATTTTTCGGTGGGGTGCCGAAGAAGTTTGATATTGGAATTTAAATGCATCATGATTCATAGAGTACTAGGTAGCTTGGAGATATTGTAATTTGAGAATGTTCATGATTTATTCGGGCCATTTTGTAAGGCTTTGGAGCCAATGCTGCAATACTCAAGCAACCCTTTGCCTTTTGTCACAGCTCGTAACATTCGTAATGGCATTAATTTACCCAGCTCCTCTCATGACATTGCAGAACCTTCCAAGTAATCTTTCAGTCCTTCTTCCCACTCTCAAGATCCAGTCCATGCATAGCAACTTCTTAGTAGCAAAAATCTTCAGATCTGCCTTCTTCTTATGATATCGAGGAACCATCCAAGCAACATTCCAACCGATCATCCATCACTCAAGATGAAGATTCAGGTCTAGCTACCAAATTCCTCAACGAAAGATCATACACAATATCCTCAATCTTCTTCACATTGTACTTGATACCATCACTTCTTCTCCTCAGAACATCATTCTTCAAATTAAGAATCTGGAACCCTGCATGTAAATCCTTGACGAATTGACTGATTTGTAGAGGTCTCTGGTAGTCTCCGAGAGTAACGGAATTGATAGCCAGTCGTGAAAGCTCTTCGATCAAGGAAATGAGGGAGAGGAGGTATTCTTCGATACTGATGTGGAATGCGTCTCGGTCTTTGAGGTTGACGGGGACTATTATCTCGTTAGCTGTGCCATTCGTAGAGAATCTGTGTGCAAAGTACCTTGGAGAATCTCTCCTACTTCCTCAATAGTGAGAAGTCTTCCTGATTGAGCAGGCTTTCCATCTTTGTTCAAACCCCCCAGCCATCCGCAGAGAAGAATGGCAAAGATCACATTCTGCACATCTCTTGTCCAGATCCCATTATATCTATTCTTATTAGTGAGGCATTTCTACGTAGAATCCACAGCGCATACTTGTAATATGGATGGTTTGAAGCAATGCCCGCAAGCTTTTGAATGCTTTCAGCTTCTTCCTTTATAGCATTCTCTGCAGAGACAAGCACAGGCTGCACTATGAAATGTTAGATGGCGGTTTCTAAGACAGCTAGCCTTGGGAGACTTACAGTGAGAAGCTGGTGTGGAATGAGCTCGAGATAAAACCGACTGAGCATTTCGGCACTGCCTCTCCAATGTTTGTAGAATAGCTTTCAGTTGATCTCTTACTTCCGCATCTTCATCAATCTTAGTTTGTAGATCTTCAAAGATCTTTGGGTCAACCATTCCATTGGGATCCGACATTTTACTTGAAGGTAATTTGAGGGGTAATGTGGTGGGGGTGTTTAATTTGTAGATTTGCTCAAAGGTTGAGCTTTGAAGAATAAATTTCACGTCACACAAGCAAAATATTTTACCATCAATACGAAAAGTACATTTCAATTTCACAACGCGTCATGGCATCAATATCGCGCACGCGGTTTTGAATGCAACGCATGGAGATGGAAAGGTTCAAATTGGGATTTATCATGATTCGTGATGATATTAGATTTCACATGCAACTACAGCTACAAGATACAACTCATGCCAGTTTGGAGAACAGCATCTACACCCACATCAATGATGAGCAGCGGTACCTACCTAGCAATCGTTTCATTGCCGCGACACTCAACAGAAAGCATCCTATCCTATCCAAAGATTTCTGTTCCAAGCCACTTCCCAAAACACAACAAAAAACAAAATCGCCAAAAGACTCTTCTTCACAATCCAGGCAAGCCCAGATCCGTAATGAAAAGAAGTTGTTCGCTTCACCTGGAGGCAGTGTAATACCAGGGAAACTGTGGGAATGATCATGCGCAAGCACAGCGGACCAATCCCGAGGGACAAAAATAAGTATAATCAATGTGACCGTCTATGACGATCTTTCAGAGATTAAACTGAAAAGAACAGATACTACACTTGATCTAAGCCTGTAGAGAGAAAGTCTTGTTAGCAAAAGACTCAAGAAGATGAAGAAGAGAGTGAAAAGTAGGGGGGAACTTACCAATAGGCAAAGAGAGCTAAAGAGAAAAGAAGTCAGGAATGGGGGAGCGAGAAGATGTTTATATAGATGTTGGGTAATGGCCTGTGCGCACCAAGGAAGAGGCCAGTTGGTGCAAACATGTTTGACGAAGAAACAAATGTGACAAACTGCCTTGACCGCCCATTCTGCCGTATATGTAAGTATGATGCACGTACTGACTACCTACCTAGTACTCGTAGGCAACAAAATATAATTCTTTCTGTCAACACCTGCAACCTCTGGTCAACCTCAGGTCAACTTCTCCATTAGAAATGATCCACTTCGGATTTTGTGTAATGAGGAAGTTGCAACTTGCACTGTACGGAGTACCTAATGTGCATACCTAGATACTTATAGTCCAGCTACAAAGTCTAATCTCACAATGAAGCTGAAGCTCGCAGTACATATTTGGCTGCAGAAAATTTCGAATGCGCATCCCCAGTTAGATGATAAATGAGGTTCACGTGATTAAGATCAATGGAGTCTGGAGTCTGCATCTACAACAACCATGGCATGCAGACTTTGTACACTTCTCACATAAGTTACTTATGGATTTCAATTTGAATGCCATGTGTATGAAGTTGATCTGCTTCCGTAATGTTGCTCGCCGGGAGGCTGCCCAGGCTGATATCATTGGCGTAAGGCATAGGTAATATTTATTGGATTTGCAGACACCATAATAAGAAACCAATCTCTGCCTCAATTGCTCGTTGCTATAAGCATACAGATACCCAAGTGTGGTGATGAAGGTTGGCATCAAAGGTTGCTGGTCACGTTGTTTGCTCCTACGTTCAACAACTATCGTATCTCAATGTCAGAATGCATTTGGTGTTTCGTTCGATCTGAATATTGGAATTGGACTCAAACATTGAAAGTTGTTGATTGCCGGAATGCAGTCTAGACCCTGCTTACACAATCGCTGCAGTGGTTCTTGCATCTCCCTCTATATCATTAAAAATACCGAGACGTTGTTGGAATTGATTTTACAATCTCTGTCTCTTCGTTTCATATCATCGTATGACCAGCCATGGCAACACCCTTTCTAAACTTCCCATGCTTTCGTTCCAAATCTTGGTTCCTTTCTTTCCCATTATCTGGCTCCTTCTCAATTTCACTTTTTACATCTCTCGCTTTCATAGATTCACTGTGTTCAAGTGTTATCAAGGGTTTCTGTCAAATCAGTTTTTGGTATGATGCCAGATGTAGTACTCATTCAAGAAATTGCAGTTTCTTCACTATCAAACCTTCAGCTCTTCCAAGATAGCATCTTGTGTTTCCAGTGCTATGAGGCATTATGTTCTTCTGTCAATTCTAGAAGCATAGTTTCATCTACAACCAAAAGTGAAAAATGCATGATTATGTTTACTTCTGAGGGACAATCATTCACTAATTATCTTATTTAGATTATTCGGAATAATTTATTTCGACTTGTTATCTCATTGGTCGACACCGAGTCCGATTGTAATTTCCAGGCCTGCAAGATTCACTTTTGCTCAAATGAAAATCTGTAGAGCTCTTGCGGTTGACGGGGTTGATCAATAGTACTATAAACCCAATTAAATCGAAAATCATTCTCTTCGTCTTCAATTCCTTTCGCTCGAGGTCTACATGATTAATATATCATCAGAGCAAAATTGTTTGGTTTATTCCTTACACTATATAAGTTATAGCATGAATTTTTGAATAAGTTTTAAAACACAAATCATTAATATTAAATCTGCTAGTGTAAATGATGAGTTTTGGTTTGAAAAGACGTTTGAGTTGATAGGCGTTTTTTGACAACCTAGGCGGAACTAACTAGGCTTCGAGTAGCTGTAAAGTAGAATTTCATGAAGAATTGAGAAGAACCCTAAAGATCGTCGACCTCAAACACTATACGCTAGGAGTGGCATCTGACATCATGCTACCTGAGAGGCCTCGCTTCCTGATGCGTCTCGGATGATAGCAGGTCTGATCGAGTGGAGTACAGGTGAAATAGCACCTACGATGTAGGTTTTAAATGTCAATGTGGTATTCTGTCTAGAGAGCTAATCTATGAATGTGTAGGATTAAGCAACCCTGGCCTAGCGCTCTCGCTTAGCCCACTGAATCAATGTAGAGAGGTGTTACGCATTGGTCAATTCCGGCCTGTTTTTTCTCCTACGAATAGAATGACTCAAGGTCATTTACTCACCTATGACACGATGGTTTTCTCGCTACCACTAGAGCATTTTACATTCAAAGTGAACCTGAATATCAGATTTGATCAAATTTCACTTTCAATTATCACTTTCAATCAACTCATCTTTCAATCATGAGATACCCCTCATTAGTGAATGCATCTACAAATTTTTCATGAGAAGTGAATTTGAATGTCACTTTCAATCATCACTTCGGTTAACCCGATTTTCCTGCTCATAAAAAGGCTTCCCTTCTTGATTTCTTTTCACAAAATTTCTTCTCCTCTACACAAACAACCATCGATCCATCAGTTCAACTGATCGTGGTTTACATATACAACTCATACATCTTTCACCAATTCGAGATTGAAAGAGAAGCTCTTGATCATCTAAACCTTTCTCCAATTCGATTCAAGATTTTTCTACAATCAGGACCTCTCCCTTTCCTCGCAATTTTACCTCAGTAGTAAAATTAAACCTCGAAGAAGGCTCCTCGATAGTCTCCACTTTCTTTCAGTTGTCAAGCAAGAGAAAGATACATCCAGTAAGTGTCTCTTGAATTTCTTATAACCAACACACTTCAAGTGGCGCTATGCGTTAGTGAGGACGTTGGAGTCTCGAATTTTCTACCTTATCCTCATTGCTTGTTCATTGCATACTAATATTGGAAACGTGATAGACAACATGGCTTCACAAAGTCCGTTATTGCTCGGCCTCAATCGAAGACGGTGGACTCTCAACCTTTTAAGAGGCACTATTCAGGAGTTAGTCAGAGAGAATTACCGTATCGAGATACATCAGCCAGGGGAAACGAGACCCGTCCTTATGCGTCGGCTAGACGACCTGCTGCACGGACTTTCACCAGAGACTGTCAATATGCTCACCGAAAGACATAGGCAAAGAAACTGGCGTCAGGAAGATATCGTCAGATATAGCCATGCCGCACGACCTATTGCTAGAAGAGTAGTACGTTGTCGTTGTGCTGCAGTTAGGGCCAACGGAGTTCAACCGCGAATCAGATCGAACCTTAGAAATTCGGAGCTGTCTATAGACGCACAAGCAGCGCGCAATTCACAAATATTACGGGCTGTTAGCGGACTGACCGATGAATGGAGGAGACGCATTTTAGAGCTGGAAGCGGCGAATAATGGATTGATGACTCAGGTCTCAGAGTTTTTGGAGGCTGAGGCAAGACGAGGAATAGAGGCGGAGGCCAGACGAGGAATAGAGGCCGACGAATTGAGGGGACGCAATTTACAGTTGGAGATGGCGAATACTGAATTGACGACCAAGTTACGCGAGCTCGAGCGCGCTGCAACTGCTCAAGAAATAGAGAAGTTGATTTTGAAAGATCGCACTGAAAATTTGGAGGCAACCCTAGCCCCCAGAAACAGACGCGTTTCCATGCTAGAGGCTCCTATAATTCATATGTAGGAAGAGAACACGCGGTTTGATGAGGGGACTGTCGATAGTTCGGAATCTGCGGTGAGGGAATTGGTTGAAATCCATGGGGAGAAGAACGACAGATGGGCATCGGCTTGAGATATATTGCATGGGCTTCTTAATAGTGATCACAGAAAAGTGCAATTGCTAGATGATATAGTCCGAGGATGGGATAGGGATATTGCTAGGAGAAATGAACGGAGACAGAGGGGACGCCAGTAGTGGATGGGTCACGGAGAGCGACTCGGTTCAGTTTATGAAGCTTTGGCAAGATTATTTCGGCATTCATAGAGTTTTTCATTTTTGCATGGCTGATCACTATGGTTGTTTATTAGGAATAACAGCAATGACTAGCTGGATATATCACGTGGTTCGGTTCGCTGGGTGGAATTTCTGCATTCTGTCCCCTCAAGGACTGCAAAGGTTACGACAATATTATACACAGGAAGGAGAGTTTTTATCATACGATGGATGAATCGTATCGACGATTCATCTATGGGGAGTCTATATCAATGAATTAGCTCATCTATTAGTTTAGCTTGCAAGTTTAATAAAAGTGCTTTTATCGTTAACCGAAGTTTCGAGATCCATTACAAATTTTGCAAGTCCGGCTTGAAGATTCGGGTTTACCCCTAGCTTACTCATTTTGAGCGGAAGAAACAGTATTATTGCGTCAACTACGATATATCAGAATATAGAAATAACCAGACTATCTGGCTCATCGATAATAGAAGCCTGGCAAGTCATCCCAGAGTGTCCGTAGATCTTCTACACTTTATCAAAAGATAGAGTACAACAGCCTACCTGGGCGTTCGAACACAGCACAGATCCTAAGTTTGTTTCACGCTCGGGTAGTACAACTAATATCAAGCTTGGCGAGATTGTAGATTCACGCAACTAGGTACTTAATGGAGGTAATTATTCATTCTAAGCATTTCAAGGAAACTCGGAGTTCTACACCGATGAATTATAAGACTTTGTTTGTTTGAAGGCACAAAGATTTGTTTGATTCATCCACCATTGGATTTACTTGTAGAATCTTCTGGAAGCTCCAATTGGTCTCCGGTCCAACCCATCTTCGCGTAATCCAGCTTCCTCGATTGTCGAGCTTGGATACCCTATTTATGATTAGTCATTTAGTAATTATTGAGGATGCAGATATTGTGGTTAACGAACCTTTTCCACGGTATCCTCTACAATATATCTGAAAATCTTGACGTCCCTGTTCTGACCAATTCTTTGGACCCGGGCGATCGCTTGAGCTTCTACCATTGGATTCCATTGTGGCTCCAGTATGTATACATAATTGGCGACTGTAATATTGAGACTATGGATGTTAGTCTGCTGAATTTACTCGGGAACCCAGAGAAACATACCCCTCCGCCCCTGTCCCAGTTGTCATTATGAGTATCCGTATATTTTCATCTGTGGTGTATTTTTGTAAGATGTCATATCTTTGCGCACGGGTGCAACTCCCATCTATTCGTTCAAAGGGCAGCCCGCAGAGCTTCAGATGATGCCCAACAAGGTCCAGCGATGTAGTCCAACATGAAAATATGATACTGATGTTGTGTTAGTTCTGTATTTATACTGGGCTAGATTCATATTTCATACCTCTTGCCTCCTGTCTGATTTCGGTTTATATCCTTCAGCAGTTCCTTCATTTTGGATGCGATTCCAGTGCTCTCGAATTTGCTTGATGTTGTCAATGAATGAGCCTTGCGTTTGTTTCCGACCTCGTCGGCAAAGCAGGCATTGTTGATAACTGGTTGACTACATATTGAACAACGTGAGTGAATGTCATCTTTATCTGTAATGAGGGAGTTCCTGTATATAGAAACACAGTCAAAGCATAAAAGATGTCCACAAGTAGTGAAGCGGCCACGATGGATGACACTACTGCCGAGGCCTTCGATCCCTACATTGCAATAGTGGCATCTAGACTCGTTTTTCTCTTGCAGTAGTTCAAGGGCTTGCTCAGGATCAAAGTGCGTATCAGTTTGAGAAATGGAAGAACATCTCTTGAGAAATGTGCCATGATTACAAAGCCGCCGCAGTTGTAGTTGCAGCTGGAAGATTCCAAAGTAGCCTTTTTGGTTTCTGCCTTGACTATCTTGTTGTTTCACGGCCTGTATTTCCTCTCGTCGCGTCGAATCATACAGCGACTTTTCTTCGAAAGAGAAGTGGACCGGCCGATATATCTCTACTAGACTTGGTAGATTTAGTAACTTTTTGGTGCGTCGTAAGCATATTGAGTCCAGCAATGTTCGAAGATTGGCAGCCCCTTCATTCTTTTCTTTCAGAAGTGGATTTATAATGTGCTTCCGGAACACTGGAAGTTCATCTAGGGGCGAGGAACGAATGAAAGAAACCAACGCTGCGAGGTCATCCAAACTATTTTGAATAGGGGTACCTGTTAGGCACCATCTTATGTTTGCAGAAAGTTGACTCATTGATCGAAATAGCTTCGTCTTCATGTTGCGAATTCTGTGAGCTAAGAGATGGTAAGTGAGCAAGAAATCTACTACAGCCTGCCGGACATTGATCAACTACCTTCGTCAAGAACAAGACGGAACCATTCAATACCATAGACTGGACTTTCTGGATCTAATGATTCCGCAGAGATTGTATCATATGTACTCAGTACGATGTCCGCTTCGATTAGGGGCTTACGGCTTGTCTCGCGCCCACGACCATGGTATATGTTAATGTTCACATATCCCCGACAGTGTCTATTGATTTAGCTTCAGTCTGGATGATTGAGCCCAGGTGATATCTTACTTGGCGATTTCCTCTCTCCATCCATCGATGAGTACTATATCTATCAACTGGGAACAATTTGTGAAAGCAAAAGGTAGACATACAAGATGTTTGCACAATAACGAGTGTCGATTTTGAACGAACCTTGTATTTGAAGTTCTTGTCGTGCTCAAAGCCTCGAGGGGAACTACCAAAGAAGTCCTCGGCTTCTTTAGATGCCTGCATAATACTGGCAAGGACTGTCAGTGTCTTTCCGAGGCCCATGTCATCTGCCAAAATTCCTCCACCACATTCGATCGGACTATCGCCACGTTTATGACCTGATATCCTGTGTTGATAACTCCAATATAGTTAGAATAGGAGAGACCACCGTCTTATAACAACTTGATTAGAATCGGCTCACCAAATCTGGTTTTCGTATCTTTGCAGAGTCCACAAAGAATATTCATCGGGAATTGGACCAAATTCCCTCTGCGCTATGAAGTCTAGTGCTTCTGCCTGGTGTCTAATCATTCGAACTCAACGATTACTAAAGGCAGTCTCAAATAAAGGGGAAATAGCGTACTGCATAAGGGGTGTTATTATCTTGATGTTTGCCTCGATTCTTTTCAGTTTCTGACCCCTTGTCAACGAATTCAAAATCTTTGTGACCTTCTTGTGAAGTTTTGGTTGAAGTCGATTATCCTCCCTAGCATCCATGTCGATGCCCAGAGAATATTCGTTTGACGAGTTGATAGTATGTGGTTGTTCACTTTCCATAATCATGCTCCTAGGTGCCTTATCGAAACTCAAGAAATGGGGGTTTTGATAGTCGGTATATTTCTCGATTTGCATCGTCTCAGGATGCTGCAAGTAAATTTTTGCGGTCGACAACAGTGTACCAACGGCATTACATATGTTCTTAGGACCAGCCACTGTGACATCAACATAAATATACATCTTTCTCTCGGCTGCCAATTCATGATTGAGTTCAGCTGTTGAAGGAATTGTCTCAAAATGACAACCTAGATTCTTCATCTGGCAAAGTAGTCGGCCGGTCTTCTCATTGAGAATTGCAAAATCTGCCTGGGAATATGATTCATCAAGAGTGGAGGTCGTCAGACAAACAACTTCACTCTCAGGCTGAAAGCGAAGCTTGAGCGACGGCGTATCTTTTGAGTTAGTGCCGATGGCATTTCTCCCTAAAACCTCCTGTGTCGTGGAATCGAGTAGTTTTGTTTGTATGTTATGAATCTGATTTTTCTCAATAAGACTCCCTATTTTGTTTCTTTCTTGTGGAGTACTTACAAGCCCAAAGCATGCGAGATTGCTATATCCAGAATCATTCCGTGTTCCTATAAATGAATTGGGTTGTGACATGGGGGGCAAGACAAACTCTGGATCAGCAGCAAATGATCCGCAATGATCAGAGTTCTCGTCGCTTTGAGTCCCTGAATGTGACACAGGATCTCTCTTTGTCTTTTTGTGGGAATGAAAAGCCCTAGTCCTACATTTTTTGTGTTAGCCACCAAGTGATAGGTTAAGTATACGAACTTTATGTCCCTTTTTAACTTACGGTCCATCCAGATCAAATGAGGGTTCGAGGATATCAGGTAGACCCCTTTTGTTCTTCTGATGTGAATGTGCCTCTACATTGGAAGAAGACATTATTGTGATTTACCAATGAGAAGGCGCTGTGCATTGTTGTGATTTGGATGCACAGAACGACTTTACAACCTGATATGTAATTACGAATTGCAAAACAAAAAGACTGTTCAGCGGATTTCAAACAATTGAAAAACTAGGAGCATGTGGTTTTGTAGTACAATGGCAATGAATGCTGCGCCCCGACGAGGCAACGAGGCTCTGTTCAGATCACATGGCTTGGAGAACTGCATATGCAGGAGGTTAGGATGATTCTTGCATGAGATAAGCAAGTACCTTAGTATTTGCAGTCATTGATTTGTTGTTGTGAAGGATGAGGTGCAGTACGAGGCAGTGCGCGTTGAGTTGAGACCGAGTTGTTAACGTTCTGGATTCGCGAGACTGGCGATACGTGGACTGCCCAGGTGAGGTGCAGAATACGTCAGCCACATTCATCAACCAAATGTGGCTAAATCATGGACCTTCTTTCTCGGACTTCCAAGGTTATTATTACACGACATTTTTCCCATCCAGAACAACAATCTGGACTGCATTTTGACAAGAAAAGGAATTTGGATTCCTTCAATCTATTTATTCAAGTCGTTTGGAACGTTGGATAGTTTCCCACATATTGATAGCTTCTGCGGCATTCCAGTCATGGCCGACTCATTTCAAATTGCGTTGGCAAGCTTCAAAAAACGGTTGACTCAAGAGGAGCAGTTGCGATTTCAAACCACAACTCTGGACGAAGTGAAGATCGCTATACTGAAGATACAAGATGACCAAAGCCGTCGTAAAAGCATGATGAATCTCTCTCGTGTCAAATCCTTTATCGAAGCATTTGAACAATATTCAAATGTTGTCGAAGTTTTCCTCAACACATCTTCAGTGTTGTGTTTCATTTGGGGCCCCATGAAATTTTGTCTTCAGGTTGCAAGCTCATGGGCCGAGTCTTTCGACACACTATTAGACGCATATCAGCAACTTGCGGAAAACATACCTCTTCTCGAGCAATATGGTGATCTATTCAAAGGCAATTCGTATATGGTTAACGTACTTGCATTGTTCTATGAAGACATGCTCGACTTTCACCGAGCGGCTCTTAGGGTTTTCAGCAAATCAAGTAAGTGTATTCTTCAACCAATCATCTAACAATTAGTTTGAAATTTCCGAACGAAGCGTTACTTGATTTTAAGTGTTTGAGATTATCTGAATCCTCAAAACACTAAAAAGGATTTCTTGGTTGTAAATCTCCGAATGTGCTGTTGCACCGTATCCGACCTTTTAGGTTTTGTTCGCTTACGTCTCAGCGTGGAAACAAATATTTAGGGCGACTTGGAAAGACTTCAACAGCAAATTTCGGCATATATTAGACGGGCTGGCCCGACACAAAGCTCTAGTAGAAAGTCAAGCAACGATTCTCCAATTCGAAAAGCAGCAAAAAGATTACACTAAAGCCAAAACTTCGATCTCAATGATCCAAGAATCAATTCTTCGTATTCAAGAATACCAGAGGGAGCATCTTAATCACAAAAAGCAGTTCGAGGCTATCGAGAAGGAAGACACCAAGCGTCAACGACTAGCTTTACTAGATTGGCTCGCTTCCACCGATCCGATACCTGACCATGAGTTCGCGGTCTCTATGCGAGCCGATTATCCCTCCTCCGGCAACTGGATTTTGCAAGAGAATAAGATAAAAGCGTGGCTTGATCCTCAACAATTAACCGTCCCACTTCTCTGGATTAATGGTATTCCTGGAGCAGGTAGGCATTACAGAATCGCATAATACTAGCTTCATGGGCTAATTGAACTAGGAAAAACTATATTGACATCCGTGATCATTGGAGAATGCATGAAGAACAGCTCATCGTCGACAATATTCTTTTACTGCAAATATGACGATAAACAGAGAGATACTTTCCTAGCCGTGGCTCGGGCTATGCTCTCTCAACTGCTGAAGCAAAACGAAATTCTTCTACCTTACCTCTATAGCGAGTGTATCAACAGTCATTCTGTTTCACTTGTCTCGCATGAGATGTGTACGAAGCTACTCGAGGTGTGCTTTGAAACTGTATCTAAATCGGAAAGGACGTATTTGATAATTGATGGGCTCGATGAATGCGAGCCATTGCAGAGGAGAATCTTGCTCTCTACTCTGGTCTCTATTGTGCAAAAGACTTTGTACCCAGGAATGCTTCGCTTGCTGATTGTCAGTCAAAACGAGCCTGATATAAAGAGACAGCTTCGGCAATGCTCAGATTTACGGTTGTCAAGCTCCTGCAACAGATGTGATATTGAAGTCTATTCTCGAGTGTGGGCAGAAAAAATACAGCAGAAGTTTGTTGTATCAGATGACACAAAGACGCACATCATAAAGGCTGTGTCTGAAGGTGCAGATGGTAAGTGCTCTCCAGTACCTCACTGTCTTGATCTAACCGGTCTCAGGGATGTTCTTATATGCAAGACTAATCCTCACTAATCTTTATGGACAAACATCCCGTGAAAAACTGTACGAGGAACTTCGGCCGGGAACATTTCCAGTTGGCTTTGAACAAGCGTGAGCGAAAGAACCTTGGAGAAAGATCGAAATTGTTTATCATTGCTGACAATTCAGATACTCGAGGATTGTGTGTCGAGTGTATCAGAACCCCAACGAGTCGGAGCGAGCTACCGCAGAAAGATTATTGGGCTGGATTTCATGTGCAAAGCGGCCCATGCGATGGCATGAAATACAGGCTGCAGTATCAATTAACATGGATGATGAGGATGTGAAATTTGAGGGTGCGTCAATTGATCAAACCCCCGGGCCTCTGTATGGAATCCATGATGGGATTATTTGTCTTGATTCAGGACCAAGTTGACCTTTTCAGACCGCCAGCTACGAGCTCATATTCAAGATCTCTGTGGGTCCCTCGTGGAAGTCCTTCCAGGGGACAGAGTGCAACTCGTGCACAGCAGCGCGAAATCGTACGTTAAACATATATGAAACCACATGCTGGCTGGATATTTCCAAATAACTGATGAACACGAAAAACAGTTACTTGATTGATAAGAGCCATGTAAGAATAAATTTAGAAGAGCAGAAATTGGCAGTAATGTGTCTACGCTACCTACTTTTCCAATGCTTTGACCCGACTACACCTGACAATCAAATCCACCACTATGTCAACGAAGGTTATTATGCATTCCAAGAATATGCAATTGTGTATTGGGTTGATCATCTAGAGTCTCTGATTGAGCAATTATCACCATCGGACCTTGAAAACTCAGAACAATGCGACCTTGGATCCGCCATTGCGGAATTTTACGAGATTTTTGGAGTGCAAAGCACAAAAAGGTCGGATGTCCCCTCCTTCTTAGAAGATCGATGCACTCATCTTGTTGGGTCCGACCAACTAGACTCACTACTTTTTCTGCTGAGCCATACTAGAAAAGTTCGGGCCGCTCAAGATGAACTTACAGAGCCAAAGGAGTTAAAGATCATCCTCGAGAAAGTACGATCCTATTTAACCAAACTGTCCAAATCAAAAAACTTAACGATTGTGGAAAAGCAAAAGCTCAATACTTATTACGGTTCAAAATGGATAAAATGTCCTCGCCATGCATGTTTCTACTTCCATGAGGGGTTTCCTGATGAATCTAGTCGTGATAAGCATCTTCTACGACACGAGAAGCCCTTCTTATGCACAGATCTAAGTTGCCTGAGGAAACATTGGGGATACAGTACCGAGAAAGAACTCAAAAGACACATGTTATTAGAGCATCCCGATCCAGCAGCTTTCGGAGGTAAATTTCCAAAGGTCAAGAAAGAACCAGTGAAGCATCAATGTAATATATGCGGAAGCTCATATACAAGGTCATCAGGTCTAAAAATACACCAACGAAAACATGATGGAATAAAACCATTCAAGTGCGAATTTCCTGGCTGTCCAGCGGCATTTTTGAGGAGATGGGATCGTGATAGACATGCGAGGTCTACTCATTCAGGAGTGGGAAATGCTAGTGGATCACAATCACCACAATCTACGCCAGTTCAAAGTCTGCCATAGCCGAAGTGTTGCCCGACAACGAATTTGAACGAAAGGCCCTGGATAATTTTCCTTCTTGGAAAGCCAAAGCTGATCGGTAGAACAGCATCAACAATCTCTATTCAAATAGGGTGGATAGTTGAAATCACGATTCCTAGTACCATCATTACACCCCTGATCTGCATTCGAGTGCAGACTTTGAGTTACGCAGCCCTCTTGTCTTTGCAATCTAAGACTTGACACCATGTCGAATGGCACTCGACACATAGCCATAACTATAGTGTTGTCTTCACATCTGAGCCTTACTTATTTGAATGGTATATTTTCTCGGTGTCCATCGTATGATTAACATGTCATTCGTCATGAGGCTACCCTTAGTAATGATAAAAAGATAGAAACGACATTGCGATTACAATGCGACGGATTTATTAGATCGTGAAAAAGAAATGATGCAAGATGTATTCCGTGCTTTTCATCTGCTTTTGCTATTAATGTCATATAACCACACAGTGCTTCTCGGGGGGTCCTCGTAATCGTGATTAAATAGAGTGGCTGCCAACAATTCTCAAATATTAAGTCACATCATTTTCCCTTAAGAAGATTTACTAGTAGTCATACGAGTATTACTTAATTCAAAAAAATCTACTATCAGAGGAGCATAAGTAGTATGACGCGACGTTGTAAGCTCAGAAGTTTTTGCACGTGATAAATTCACGTGCATATCATTATGCCTCTTCTATTGATTAGCAAAGACACCTGAGCCAAGAAAGTTGCGTGCTGAACGAGCGCCGAGCGGTGCAAGAAAAAACAGGCTCTTCGTTGAGTGATTGTCGCTTGATCCCCCAATATATTTCGTCTGACGGGACGTCAGACATGACACTTTCCTTCTTTTGGATTGCTGCTACCCGTACGTATGGATGCCACAGTGAGACTTTAATAAGAAACGGGGGAACCCGAAAGTGGCCCGGACTTTCGGTGTTACTGACAAAGAATATCATGTCACGTGCCGTATAAATCTTTCGAAAATCTTAAATTTCTTAAATAACGCGAATTTCCAAAGTTTTCAACTAGACAGAAAGCTTTTTCACAAGTTCAGGTAGTCACCACTTGAAATGAGTATCATAGATCATAGATCACGAGAGCGACAGCCCAATCACAAAGTTGACTCGCTGATTGGATGTGAATCTGCATGACACTGCATTCGCTTGATTACTTGTCTAATGCCTGGAATAGCCAGTCAATATTCATGTGAATAAGCAGCACATTTCATAAGCAGCTCTATCGAAGTTGCGACGATTAGACGAAAAATGATCTGTTGGAAATTTAGTTGGAATTTTCTTCAAGCAACGAATGATTCGATTGTTGTTTTTTTGTTTGAGTGCGTTACAACCTCTCCCAACAAGGGATAGATCACAAAACGAAAATAGAGTAACTCTTTCCATAAGCCCTTTCCAGGCATCCATACCCAACCAAAGATCTAACTCTATGTCTCCCCAACAAGATAACATTCAACAGTTGTCGGCGAATACCGGTGTGTTTCACTCCGAGCGCCTCCTCGATTTCTCTGAAGAAAGTATCAATATTGGCGTTCAAAAATCACAGAAACAACTTGCATGCGCAAAATGTCATACTCAAAAGCTACGATGTGTTCGAAAGTCACCTGGTGAACATGCCTGTGATCGTTGCCTGGCTACCAACATCGAGTGCGTTGCCAGACAGCTACAGCGCATGGGCAGACCAGCAGACCACTGTCGTCGTAAGAATCATAATGCCAGCGCCAGCATAAATGGTGCTCGGTACAAAAACAAATCTCGATATGGTGGTACAAGTCGTATAATTGGTAATACGACAAGTTCCGGGAGTGGATCGAGCCATTTGCCCACGGCGGATAGTGATTGCGGGGTTATAGCGTGGTCTCCGTCGGCTGACGGAGACTCCACATCTAGCTGTAGGCGTGCCGGCGCTGGTATTGAATTTGCTAACCTATCTCCGAATAAGATTGACGTTGCCATGTGCCCGCCTGTGGACGTATCTGTGGAGAAAAATGAAAACGTGGGTAACAGTAGCAGCACTATTGTGACACAAATCACTCCAACCCTCATACACGGGTTCGGATCTTGATATTTGGTCATCGTGGGCAGTTCCAAATCAACTAAATTCTTATGCGGATTCTCCCTTTGCTGGACTAGAAGATTCGAACTCTTTGTTCCCACAGTATAACGATTTGCCGGCAAGCTTATTTGCTCATGGTGTTGATGCGAATACCATCGGAGCAAGCACAGAGCCAGATAGCATCACAGATTTACAGCCACAATTTGACGATACGCCCATTGATCCAGTCGAGCAACTCACCAAGCTACACCTCGAATTATATCGCTGTCTCACCTCTGTCAAAGCCGTGGAAACAGCTAAGAAAGATAAAATGCTCAATCCATCCAAATAAGATGGCAGCATCGACACCAGTTGGTTACAGCAATTATTCCAAACCACAGAACGATTCATCGATGCCTTAACAAGCTATGTGGGCGATAACCTACCTCCAAGCAATGCTAAAACTGTATCAGCTGCCCTCATCAGCAGTTCAGATACCCAGGTGCTGACGACCACCGACGAAGCCGACACAGCCACAGGTCTCATGATCGTAAGCTGCTACAGTCAGTACAATCTGCTCATCAATTCCTTTGTTCTTAATACGTAATCCTGTTCCCCGGATTGCATTCCCTTTTCCCTTTCGAAGATGAATTTTCCTTTTGTTTTTAACACAGCTTCATCTCCTCACTTTCTTTCAAGTCTTACTAAAACAGGAAATACTGACTTCCGGATCTTCTAGTGCGTCTCCTCCAAATCTTCGACGTCGTCGTCTTCATCATTGAAACCCATCGCGATTTTCAATGTCCAGGAAGTTATGTTGAAATACGCTTTGGGTCTTTCGCAGCTAAAAGTGATCGCATGCTCTCGGCCCGCTTGCTCGGTCAATATGTACTGCATCTTCTGTGTGGAATTTCTGAGGCGGTTGGCAAAGCTATCGCCTCGCGCCAGCCGTATGCTCGTGCGATTGTCGATGCGCGGAGAGTGGAGGCTAAGTTAAAAGAGCGCATTGCGATTACATTCCACGATTCTTGAGGGAAAAGGATTTGTATCGACAAGCATCTCGTTTTTGGATCGAAGAACTCTTGTTGAGGTAGATTCGAGGACTTGAGAGAGGTTGAACTAATCGTCAGATGATGTATTTTGCGCAAAGGGTATTTTACGGGATGCTGCAAAGCAAAGGCCTAATGAGTTTGGGTCCAGTAGTGAAGGGAAAGAGAATTATCTATAGGAGACCATTACGTGCTATGGGAGATATAATCGGGTAACTCGGTCATGTCATATCTGATAAGTTGATGCCGACTCAACAGTTTACAGAGCAGGAACTTTTGTTTGAGAAATGGAATCTCTTTGCCGTTTGCGTAGAAAATGAAAGTTGTTGGGGCTACTCGATTACTCAATCCAATCTAGCGGTGGGATCAGTATGCAGAGCTCCTGCTCGATATCGCCATTATCCCGAGAGTTATCCCAATCTTGGTAGATGCAGAAAGGTCTCTAGACGATTCCTCGTGACCATAGAGACAACTTCTCACACCAAGGAACCATAGAGGTTTCGGGCAGGGATTGCTAAAAAGTTGCACACGAAGGGCTGAAAATATTGGGAAGAGCATAACATTTTATTCAGAATTTATTTATTTCTTTCTAATATGTTCATTTCTTTTGGGGTATTCTCAAGCCCTCAGATTTTAACTCATTTGAATGACATGAGATCTCTTAGCCTTTATCTTATGCGGGTGCTAAACAAACTCCTAGGCTTTACTTCGTTCAAATTCTACGTGATCTCAAACTCTTCAGCTTTTATCAGAGTGCCCAATCACGTACGTTTTTGCCTATGTGGTCTATCTTTTTTTCTATTAACGTACTCCCCAAGTCCTTGGATTTCAATTTGTTCGACTGATCAAGAATTTAAATTTCGTATTCATGGGATCATGATAAACCATATTGGTACGAATCTCGTAGAAGCAAGCTGTTCTGCTCTAAGGCACAGCCTTCACATGAGTTGCTTGGTGTGAGGTGTGATGAGGGAGATGATCATGAGTTGCGATGGCGCAACATATTGACCGTTTGAGAAATTCCCTGGCTGCAAGGTCACCAGATATAGGCCCGGACCTTTTATTTAGCTGCAGGATATGTATCAATTACGATCATATCGAAGTTATTTTTTCTTCTATTACTATTCGATTTGTTTTCGGTAAATCAGATTGAGTTGCGAGGAGGATTAACAATTCGGACACTTCTATTTTGGTAAAGTATCCGAGTCCGAACGCGGGCCGCAGCGTGCTTTCTTTCCCGAGCCTTTTAGATGGGTTATCTCCTCTCAATTTATTCTTGCATGTAACTTCTTGTTTAGAGGCAATAATTTGGTCAATTCGAGATATATTTCAAACCCTAAATTCAGTCTCGATATAAATCCCCATGTGTTGTTAGAGCAACAACTTCTAGATGGCTTCTACTACAAACGAGCCCCTTGATAAATCCGAGAACCCGATGGGTCTTAAAAGTACCACAGATGTTAATAGCGATCGCACCAGGCCTCCCGCGCCTCAAGAAAATGTGCCCGAGACTCCTGATATGAGTAAAGGTAAACTTACTCTTATACTAGCTGCACTGTGTCTCTCAGTCTTTCTCGCAGCCATCGACGCGGTTCTTATAACTCCGGCTTTGCCTACAATTGTGAAGGATTTAGGCGCATCAGACTCAGGTTACTCCTGGATTGGATCTTACTATCTTCTTGCCCTGGCAGCTTCGTCGCCAGTCTGGAGTAAAGTGAGCGACATATTCGGTCGAAAATCTATCCTACTTATTGCCAATTTCATATTCCTTGTTGGCAGTCTGATCGCCGCATTATCGCACAGTGTAGGCATGCTCATAGCTGCACGTGCTGTGCAGGGGCTCGGTGGAGGTGGCATCATAACTCTCGTTGAGATTTCTGTAGGAGATATGTTCAGTCAAAGGTATGTTCCGTTTGTATAACCAAGTTGTAACCAAACTTTAAATTCTTCCCCAATACTGGGGGTACTTGATCAATTCTTTGCTAATATATTCATTCTCCAGACAACGAGGACTTTTCTATGGTATATATGGAGCTGTTTGGGCATTTGCAACTGCAATTGGACCTATCATTGGTGGTGCATTTACCGAATATGTATCATGGAGATGGTGCTTTTGGTTCAATTTGCCATTTGATGCACTATCCCTTATTATTACATTTCTCTTTCTCCATATCCACAATCCGAAGACTCCTCTTGTCGCGGGTCTCAAGGCTATTGATTGGATTGGATCGATACTCATCGTTGGAGCAACTCTCATGTTCCTGTTAGGCTTGGACTTCGGAGGCGTGACTCATCCCTGGAAGTCTGCAGTTGTCATCTGCCTCATCGTCTTCGGACTTGTGACTTATGCGGTTTTCGGGATATGCGAACGCTTTGCCAAATATCCAATTATTCCTCGCCGTGTCTTCGGAAACGTGTCACTTATCTCCACATTTGCCGTTGTTTTCTGTCATGGCGCTTGCTTTATCGCACCTGTCTTCTTCCTTCCGCTATACTTTCAAAGTGTCCTTGGAGCTACACCAATTCTTTCCGGTGTCTGGCTACTCCCTCTCGCCGTTTCATTCACGGCCTCTGGAATCATCATGGGTATTCTAATTCAACGCACCGGACAATGTCTGTGGATTATTCGGGGAACAATGGCACTTCTGACTCTGGCGCTTGGCATCATGATTACATTCGGCCCTACTCGCAGTTGGGGCAAAATCGTCGTCTTTCAAATCCTGCTTGCGTGGGGAATTGGCGCTAATATGCAAACTCTTGTGATTTGCGTGCAAGCTCTCGTCGCGCCGGAGGATATCGGGGTAGCAACCGGTACTTTGAATTTTATCCGAAATCTTGCTACCGCGAACAGTGTTGTACTTGGTCAGGTGGTCTTTCAGGGCATTCTCAAACACCACAAGGGAAAATTTCTCGCAGTTGGTATACCCGAGGACAGTGTGTCAGAGCTTCTGAATGGCGGCGCTATCGGTGGTTCTAATATTGCAAGTACTTTTACCTCAGCACAGAGTTCCGTCTACAGAAGTGTAGTTGCAGATGCTCTTTCCAAAATGTGGATTTTGTATACTTGTATCTGTTTTCTTGGCTTAGTTATCTCATTTGGAATTCAAAAGAAAGAGCTCATGACTGTTCATGAGACGACTAAGACGGGGTTGGAGGCGGAGGAAGAGAAGAGACGGAAAAACTTGGAGGGTAAACCAAAAGAAGAACCTTGATTGATTTTAAAATACAGTTCGCAATGAGAGATGCTACTATTGAGAGTAGACATTGCTTGGGTCTTCAATAGATCGGAGCAGAGGGAGGAATTTCAAAGCTTGTGTTGACTATTCCTGCGTGGAAGAGATAGCAGTTGAGCGTTGTTCGGCTCAATGTCATGTGACGCTGCATGTGATGCCACTATTTAGTGTTTGTGACATTGCAAGCAAAAGATCAAATTACCATTACATTGGTACTTCGAATTATCAAGGTATGAGGCAAGTGATTTTGAAAACTTTTACAGTCAAGAATAAAATTGTGTCAGTTTAAAACGTGACTTCGGACCTGAAGTCCACAGCTATGCATATACGAGACGGCAATGAACGCGCCTACTAGGTTAACTTCCTGCATCAACTGAATGAAATCCCATAAATAAAGTGCAGCTCCAATCACCTCATAATCTCCCTTCGTAGCCAGAGGATGGGTAGGCATCGTCCCATTCCCCGCCTCATCCGCTCTTCAATTTCCTCTGCCGACCGGTGCACACGGGTTCCATTGCTCGAAGATATGACTAAGACCAAAGGAATTCCCATCTATCACCACGGTTCTCGAAACCTGCAAATGCCTCGTATTCCGCGACCTCGCGCGGTTCTGGGCCAGTCAAAGCACTAGCGCAATTTAAGCAGTTTCTGGGCAAAGACAATTCACTGAAGTCGTCAAGCTTTAAAGCATCAAGAAAGGTCTCTGAAAAATCATCACTGATAATGCATATGCCGAGTATATATTCGCAGATCTAGTATCTTCTGTCTAGACCTCGGGTATCATCGTGGGCTTTCGGGTCCGGTTAAACACACCCACGAGTGTATTGGCGCTTTGTATATCGTCTGCTCATATGACGACCATCATGCATGATTTTATAGATTTTCGTGGCACTCTGACCTCGTCATGAGTTTCTCGTGTGTAAATATTTCATGAGTCGCAAGGACACGGTACGCCGCGCAAATGTCCCGAACATCTCGAGGAGTATACCACATCGTCGAGCGCTGCAGTGACAGGCGGAATCTTTTAGGACAGAATAAAAAGGTCAAGTGCGTCCACAGATAGTTTTATCGCTGTCAGTAGTTGGTAAAGATAGCGGAGAAAGGTCTTTAAACATGATCCCTTCACACCACGCTATACCATCTCAAAACACCACTCCTGAAAAAGAGACCTTGCTGCAGTAAGATCGCTATCTCCTACACAGATCAAGAGACTTCTTCAGTCACTCTACAATACTTCTCCCTCGTATTCCGAGTCCTCAAAAAGAGCGGTTTCTCCCCCCTCAAGCTCCTCCAATGATCCGTCGACCTAAATAATCCCTCACAGCCCCCAATAACCCACGCCCAATTTCTAGCAAAAGTTTCTGTAACCTCCCAACCGCTCTCATCCCATGGATCTCGCCATACGATAATCCCATTTCTTCTCCCCAACTTCGCACTCTTGACTCCTCTCATTTCTCGACATAGCTCTACTTCATCAAATTGATTATTCCTCCGCAATAAATTATCGCGTAGCTGAGGAATCGGTAAGAGATCTATCCATGGATGATGAGGAATCTCACGTTGAAGGGGTGTCGGGTGAAGAGATAAGGGCAAGGAAAACAGATCAAGAGTAAAGGATGTGTTTCCTGCTGTGAGATCCACAAAGAATCGAGAGCATGCTGTTCGGGCCATAGAGGAAGTTGTTAGACCGAGAGTTTGGGCGTTGGCTATGAAAGCTCGGGTGGTGTTAAATTGGATCAACATCATTGAGTTATCCGAGGACGGGGATAAATGGAGGTAATTATGGTAGGCACGGGTGGAGAAATGTAAGAGGAAGGATTGTGTTTCCCGAGAGTCGGGTCGACATGCTTGGATTGAGTCGATGTCTTCAATATCAGTTGAATTTGTGTGTGGAAGAATTCGCTGTGGGTTTGTTTGTTGTGCAGTAGTTCTGTATAATTCGGGAGCTTGATGATCACCATGCGAGAAGTGAAATTGCCGTGCTAGTGGAGTAGGGATTAGATCGGAATCTCCATGGTGGAGTTGGGAACGCCCCTCTTTCTTTTGTACTTTAGATTTCAGAAGCTTCCGCTTTCCTGTAAATTACCATCGCATTAGCCTACACGCAACGACCTGATAGTGAAGAAATCTCACTCGTGATTCTCTGATTCAACCGATCTTGCATCTTTTTTCTTCGGCGTTTGTCAGTTATACCCGTCCAATCCTCCTCAAATGATAACATGCCATTTTGATGAGGCATAAGTTGCAAAGGAATGAGATTTTGCTCCATATTTTGAGTCGTATCATATGTATGCGACTGACTTCTTCACTCCTGTCAGATTGTAGTCCAAACCCGGATTTCTGTGAATAATGTGAATGAGGAGTAGTTCTGCAGGGCTTCAGAATTGATTAAATATTCTGCAAGTCACTGACTTACCGCTAGTTTAACCACTTTTGAGTTTGCCTGGGACGCTGTATAAGGTTAGAACTGACTACTGAGGTACGAAGCATTACAAATGGTGGTAAAAGGGTCTCAAGGCACGGCCCAAACTCCGTAGATAGCGAAAAATCACAGAGATCGAAATCATGGGAAGTGCCCAAAGCTCATGATTCGCTCAAGGCCTAATTAGCTTGAGGTCTGTGGATCTCACCCCACGTACACTCACTATTTCTCAAGCGTACGGCATAGGACCGTTACTCGTATCATTCGAACAATGTATTAAAGTTACTCCATACGACTTATCGTGACATGCAAAAGAAGTTTAGTTTTCTCCTTACACTGATAGGTGATATTGGTTTAGCATGTTTGAGCTGTGGTTGGCTACGTATGATCGCTAATAGGAGAAGTATCTCTTTTTATTCAACTAAACGAAATCTAACAAATTTATCCCAGAAGAAAGCACCAGTCGCTACTTGAGGTATTTTCTCGAAAGTGACGCCATTTCTCCAAGCGATCAATTGCAAATTATATGAGTATAATCTCTGAAGTTTCATCATGAGAATATGGAGAACAAATGTGGAGTCGTATCAATAAGGTTTAAGCTAATGCAATTGACTGACAACTACCTAGACTTTGCCTCTTATTTTAGCGAGGGGTTAAGGTTTAACTCCGCGCGACATAACTCCATGCTTTCTTGCAATATCTGATGATGAAGCATCACGGTTGCGCACACATGAAGCACTTCATGCTGTGTTCTAGAATTCAAGGTACCTAAACACACTACAAATTTCAAGAGACTAGTTGAAGTGTCAATTTGTAGTTATCAAATAGTGATAAGATGAAAGCAAAAGTAGTGCAGAAGTGATGGATTTGCATGATATAAATAACGAAGATTGTCGTTCAATTCTCTCCTTCGTTTCTTTGCATACCTAGATACTCATCAAATCATCAAGAAAGTTCGGCGCTTCAAAATCCCTTTCATCTCAATTTCCTCAACCTTCATAAACATGGCTCAAAATAAAGCAGCATGGATTAAGACTTCTGGCGCACACCCGTTGGCTATTGACGATGCCCCTATACCTCGTCCTGGCCCGGGAGAGCTGGTTATTAAGAATGCGGTTGTGGCTATCGTATGTTATCACAATCTTCTTTCGGCGTAGATGTATAGATTCCATCACTAATAATTATTTGATGAGCAGAATCCTGTCGATTGGAAGATACAGTAAGCTCGTTATGCCAAGTGGCCAGTTTGTGAAGTATGAAGACTTCTAATAAAATATAGGGATCATGGTCGCTATCTCAACAAATATCCATTCATCCTAGGAGAAGATACTGCCGGTACAGTTGAAGCTGTCGGCGAAGGTGTTGTAGGTTTCCAAAAAGGTCAACGGGTCATTGCGTATGTAAACCACTCCAGAAACTCTCAAATATCAAATCTCAGCCAAATTGGGTGCACAAAGTATCATGAAATCTAACAAAATACACATAGGCATTGCCACGCCCTAATGACTCGCGATCCCTCCAACTCCGCCTTCCAAAACTACACTCTCGTCACGGAAAAGCTCACTTCAGCACTCCCCGAGTCTCTCTCTTTCGCAGAAGGAGCAGTCCTTCCATTGGCTATTTCCACGGCATCAGCAGGTCTCTTCCAGAAAGATACTCTAAACCTCCCTCTCCCTTCCCCCACCGACAAAGTCGAAACAGACAACAAAGACACAATCCTTATATGGGGAGGAGCGTCTTCCGTCGGAGCCACCGCCATTCAACTTGCCGTCGCCGCAGGATTAAAAGTCATTACCACAGCCTCCTCTCAAAATAAAGACTTTGTCAAATCAATTGGTGCACAAACCGTGATTGACTACAAGTCCCCCAATGTAGTAGAAGAAGTAGCAAACGCACTTCGCGGTAGCCAAATCGCCGGAGTCTTCGACGCTATTTCCGAGACCAGGAGCTTCGAAACCGTACAAAAGATTCTGGAGAGTCTAGATGTGTTTCCCAAGGTTGCAAGTGTACTTCCATATGACAAGCCTACGGAAAAGTTCTCGCCCAAGTATGGTACGTATTGGCATCCTTTCTCTTCTTGAAGAGCATTTCCCGATTAACCTTTTGATTTTCTGTCTTTTAGTCACCGCTTTCACGATTATTCAGGAGCCAAATCAATATGTTGGAGAAGCTGTTTGGAAGAAGTTTGTACCAGAAGGCTTGGCAAACGGAAAGTTGCAAGCAAAACCTGAGCCGTATGTTGTAGGTCACGGATTGGAGGACCTTCAGAAGGCATTGGATATTCAAAGGAAGGGGGTTTCGGCAAAGAAAGTGGTTGTTACTTTGTAAATTTAGTTCTTGACTGAGTCATAAAGCTTTCAATTTTGGCCTTCAGAAAATTCGATATGAAAGCAGTGATCAGAAACGCATAAGACGGTTGTTACTTTTTAAAAAGGGTGTTAAATTGCTAATAGTAAAGGGACTTGAGTCCCCTGATGTGAAGGATATGCTTTTGGGTTGCAGCTGCAAAAATCCGCTCACGATATCAAAACTATCAACCGGACCAAGAATGAAGACCTACGCAAAGCAATCCAGGTAAAAACTTCATCTCAGAAACTTTGGTTTCTATCTTTACTTGGATAATTATTGGACCTGGTAACCTTGTGTATAACTCACGGTGGCAAACTTTCTTCAATCTTGAAAACACAGCTGAGCTCTTCAGATTTTCGCTCAAAAGTAGCTTGAAATACGAGTAGGTTCGGAATTATCCGGGTAAAACTACATAACTATTCATCATTATCCAAACCCTCTAAAAATAAAACATCAAGCCCCTTCATCCCACCAAAATCTACGCAAAACCCAAGCTTTGATCCGCAAGCGGAAGCTCCTCCAAAGCATGACGTTTCAAAAACTGCTCCATAGTAACATTTTTCACTTTAGGATATTTGGAATTTTCAAGATTACTGCTATCTTCCCCCAAATATGCTTTCCCGTTTGTGCACCAGAATGCAAATCCTCTATTACTTAAGTCAGTTTTTGGAAGATCATAGGTGGAAATTAAAATTATAATGTGAAATTACTTACAATGCGCCCCATTGAGATGTATCTTCGCCATGTGTATTTACGACCTCTTCAAGCTTCTGTTCGAGGTCAATTAGAGATCCATGGGACTTGAGATGAAGTGGAGTGGAATAGACGGTTTGAAAGATGGATTGAAGTTCGCGAGGGGACTTTCGATCCTCGAGGACTGTATTTTCTCTTGTTAGTGGAATGTATCAAAGAAAAACAAAATCGAAAGCGAAAATGAAACACGAAGAACCTACATCTGAATATTCCCACAGCATTTTCATCCAAAGCAACTGCAGCTGTATAATCTGCTGCGGTCTGATATGTAGTAAACTCCCATTTTTCATCCCCTGCTCCCCAGTACGAGAGAGTTTGAGAGGATGAATCATATAGCTGGAAGAATTCCGCCCAGAAAGTTTCCATCAGCGCGCCATTGAGAATATGCACTCCCTTGACCGATTTCTTAGTAGAAAGATATTCGATAATCTTCGTAGTTGGCTTGGGGAAGAGATGAATGCGTGAAGATGGAATGAGTGTGTGATCAACAGAGAAATCTCCGGCTATGTAGCGGGGTACCTTTGCCGCTTCGCAGGCATTGATAAGATATTTTTGTCCGTTGGTCATTACCTCTGTCGAGGCAAAATAACAACATATGACGACGGAGGTACCGGAAACGAAGTTTTGGATTGAGGTTATATCGTCATAGGATCCGGTCACGATCTTAATTCGAGGGTGGGTGGTCAATATTGTGGGAAGTTTGGATGCGTTGCGACAGTAACCTTTGATGTGGACTGATGGGTTGAGGAGGAGGGACTTGATTATGCATTGAGCGAACTTGCCGCCTACGCCGGCGATGCCTATGGTTTTTGCTTCAGAGGAGGACATTTTAGGTGCTTGAGTTGTAGAGAAATTGGAGTTTTAGTATCAAGATATTGGACAATGATGTCTATAAGTAGGTATAAATATTAAAGATAACATTAGAAGGTACCTGTAGGTATTGTAGTTTCGAAAGATTACAAACCGAGGTATTATCAAGAATAAGTGATAGGACCTTTCTCTCTCTCTTAGAATAGTGAGAGCATTCCTCGGAATTATGATACTGAACTAAATGATTCTATGTGATGATTTATAAACCTATAGCGTTCATCTCGCATTTCAAAGATTTACATGATACTAGCGCGGTAGGATTGTCAGTCGCATGCAGTTGACTAATTTAGCGAAATCGCTTCAGGAGAATAAGTCCGGGCACTAAGAATTAGTGCTTCGGAGCTTCCTGCGGAACATGTAAGTCACTGACATGCATTAGAATTTCTTTTCAAAACGTGCACTTCTATAATTATACTTCAAAATTATTACAAGGTAGTTGAACTTATTGCGATGGGCGAAACCCCCGGCACTTTGAGCTTGTTAACTCCGGGTATTCAAATCTCAGAAAGATGCAACGGGAACCATAATATAGAGAAGTCGGAATTAGTAGAGATTGCTTGGTAATAGTAGATAACCATCAAAAACTTAATTGCAAATACCATATCAGTATGAAGAGAGCAAAGAGAAAAGGGTATAAATAGAGTTCACTTCCCACTTGAAGGAGGTAAACTTAACGTTCAGTACTTAGGTTCACACGACGAATTGACAAGCAAATACTAAGAATACTTTCCGTTCAATCACCTATTATCACTAGCTCGTTCAAGATGTCATCTCTCGGAACCGTGTATTCTTACCCCAACAACCCTCGTACAATGAAGGTCAGTCAAGAACCCGGAAATCTGAATACAGATCCCTTAAACCACACCCTTGATCTAACATACCACCTACCAGATCCAAGCCGCGGCTGCCTTCAACAACAGGACCATTGATCTCTTTCCCGATTTCGTTATGTTCAAAACCAACCGAACTCCCGAATTTCTCTCCGACTTCCCACTTGGCCGTGTCCCCGTATTCAAGGATGCCACCTCCTTCCAACTTTTCGAATCGGATGCTATCACCCAGTATGCCGCTGAAAGTGGCCCCGCTACGAACCAATTACTAGGATCAAATATCAAAGCACGCGCGACCATTCGTCAATGGATATCTTTTGCTAATAATGAGATCTTTGAACCCATCACTACGCTCATCTTCTGGAGATATGGATTTGTGCCTTTTGAGAAAAGAGCAGAGGATGAAGCTATGGGAAAATTGGAGATTGTTTTGGGTGTTTTGGAGAGTCAGTTGAGTAAACACATGTATGTATCTGGTACGGATGATATTAGCTTGGCGGATATCTCTGTTGCTGCTGCTTTGTATTGGGGATTTGATCAGGTCATCGATGTAGAGATGAGAGGGAAATTCAAGAAGCTTGTGGAATGGTATGAGAGGACTATTAAACATGAACATCTTAGCCCTTTCTGGGGGGAACAGAAATTTGTTGAGAAGAGGAGAGAGGGGGCGAATATTTGACTGGGATAACTAGATGAATGTAGAAATTGTTAATAAGCATGTACTAAAGTTTGGATAGAGAAGAGAATGGAGCAATTGAATAATTGGTTTTAAGGCTTGATCCGATGCTATATCGATATCACTAGAATCGTATATAAAAGAGTAGTTTTGGTCAGCGGGACTCCAGCTGGACGAAAAAACCGGCACACCAAACTCGCCAAACGTGGATTTCGTTGAAACGAAGGTTAAACATCATTTTGAAATCGAATAACACCATCGAAAAAGATTTATAATATGTCTGAAAGATTACCAACTATAAATTAAAAGTTTTTCTACAACTTAACCAGAACACCAATCTAAAATGCTCTAAAATCGATATAACAAAGAATTTCAAAAAAAATGCTCTAATTTTCTACCCACCAATTTTCACCTTCCCAAACCTCCACATCACGAGACCTCACGCAATAAAATTCCACTCCCAAACGCACAGACCACCCATCAATCTCTGTTCCTCCTCCTCACATGTACATAAAAAGAAGCGCACATTCATATACGATTTTGAGTTCACAACCTACTAAGTTATCCTCACTAGACAACCAAGCTTTTCTCCATCCCGCCTATTCCAATTCCGATTCTAAGTCCCTTGTCTATTAACGCTCCGAACCCGAGCCGAGCCGTCCGAGCAAATCTCCCGAGCAAAAATCTCCCGAGCGGAAAGATTCACAATGGTATAGTTAATCACCCCTCCCATAGTAAAACTACCCGAAGGCCACGAGAAAAGCATATCCAGAACTTTATCTCATCTCATCTCAGCTCATCTAGTACCAAACCACAACTAACACTCCATTCCCACACCCACAGGTACACGCCGACTCATCGACTTTCAAAGCCGATATCAGCAAAGCGGAAGCTTATGCACAGGTCTTAGACGAGGCGAGGGGATTAATTGATGGACAGAGGAATTGGGTATGTTTTCTTCGTTCGTCTTCTCTTTCTTTGGTTGGGGATTGGGATTGTCGATATTGAAGGAGCGAGTAAATTGTGAGTATGGGTAGATACTAATGGGATATAGGTGTGGTAAATATTCAAATTTTTCGAGTCGTTATATCAAGTGATATGATATGATCTAGTCAGATGACATATGTACGAACATTGAATAACGAAATGGTCATAGTAATTTATCAAACACGGCGTCATTATTATGGCATGCATATAAATCACTTCCCTCCCCCTCTTCAGAGGTAAACTGGGCCGGTTCGTCTCTCTTCCCTTCCTTACCTTTTCTCAAACCACCAACTTACCCATTCCAGGATTCTACACACTGGACCCCACATCCACTCCCTCCAAGCCCTCCCTAATTCTCGGTCCCTTCCAAGGAAAAGTCGCTTGTCAAACCATCGCCTTTTCCCGTGGTGTATGTGGTACCGCCGCTTCGACTCAGACGACGCAGCTCGTTCCCGATGTGGAGAAGTTTCCGGGTCATATTGCATGTGATGCTGCTAGTCAGAGTGAGATTGTGGTGCCGATTGTGGTGGATGGAGTGGTGAAGGCGATTATTGATGTGGATTGTGGGGTGAAGGAGGGGTTTGATGAGGTGGATCGGAAGTGGTTGGAGGAGTTGGCGGGGGTTTTGGCGGAGGGTTGTGATTGGTAGTTTGTTGGAGATGAGTAGAGGGTTTGGGATGTGAGGGTTGAGCTTGTCTATATTTTCCTGCAGTCTTCTGAAAGAAGTTGCATTGTGTTGCACTGTGTTGTATATGGATATAGAAATTAGATGAGAGAAACATAGAGCACTTGCTGTACATCCTACTTCCACTGGCAGACAAATCTGCATGGCGAGCATATGAAAACTCATCTCCGAGAAAGAAAAATTTCAAAATCTCAAAATTCGAGGATGCCCAGATTCCGAGCACATAACAACGCTGTGAGAATCATTCTAGACTCAAGCTAAAGCAAGAATCTGCTATGAGCGATACTAGCGATTGGAGGATTAACTCTCTAGAGATATCCAACTAGTCGCTCCCTCTCTCCCTAACCCAAATTCCCTATTTTCACTTTTTAACCGAGGAAGGGTAAACGAAACTATCTTCTGGTAGTAATCCCCTAATGTATACCTCTCACAAGTGAGCAAAACAGCAATATCCAGCAAACTGCAACTTATCTTAAACTCCCATTTACCCCTCTATCCCTCCATACCACAAAAATATACAAACCCCTCTTCAAAGCTCAACCATCACCTAAAAACATCCCATCATATGTCACAATGCAAAACACAAACCATAAACCACAAATTACTACAAAAAGGAAAAATGAAAGAGAAAAAGAAACGAAGCTCTAGGTAAGACAAAACACCTATCTGTGTTGCTGGTATCAATTCGTTATCATCATCATCATCATTCCACCTAGATACCTATTAATCTTACACAGTACAACACAACACAACACAACACTGAACTATATAAATACATAAATCAGAAACCACTCACCAAACCCATATGAACAAGTTACCAAATGATACCTATTCCGATGATATTCACCTATCTATATACCTACATACCTACTCCATACTCTATACTCTATACCCAATACACAGTACACAGTACACATTACCAATTAACAATTCATCACTCGCCCGTCCGACACGACACAGCACAGCACACCACGGCACGGTATACTTATTTATCAAGCCAGGTAGGTATTTTCCATTCATCGTATACATACATACCAACCTCCCTTCCAACCCACCAATCCCAATCCAATCTCGAACGAATTTTCCTAAAAGAGAAAAATTCGCTTGTATCTTATAACCTTATATCTATCTATTTTCAGCTATCTACCTCCAGCTATCTATCTTCAATTATCTACCTCCAGCTATTATTATATTATATTATATTATATTATATTATATTATATTATATTATATTATATTATATTATATTATATTATATTATATTATATTATATTATATTATATTATATTATATTATATTATATTATATTATATTATATTATATTATATTATATTATATTATATTATATTATATTATATCGTATTATATTATATCGTATATATTATATCGTATTATATTATATCGTATTATATTATATCGTATTATATTATATCGTATTATATTATATCGTATTATATTATATCGTATTATATTATATTATATTATATAAAATAAAATAAAATATATTCTCTTTAAATCTTTAACTATTTTTTTCTATTTTTTTCTATTTTATTCTACTCTATTCTACTCTATTCTATTTTATTTTACTTTATTCTCTATTTATTTAATTATCTATTTATCTATTTATTTTAATTATCTAACTTATAGACAGACTTTAAAAGATATATAGAATAGATATACTAGATATATATAGAGTATAAAATACTATTTATTTACTAATTTGTTTATTTATTTACTTATTAATTTTCTAATTTACTCATTTACTCACTCATTTAATAATATACTCCAATACACCTCAAGAACCTCAAGAACCCCCCCCAAGACCCCCAAGAGAAAAGCACTCTCCCTTTAAGAGAAACCCCAAGAAAAATCAAGGAATTCTAGCAGTAAGCATCTCCCGGGGCCAAGAAGATTCACAGAATGAGTGAGTTTTTATCTTTCTATCTTTCTACCTTTCTACCTTTCTACCTTTTTGTTCTATTCAATTTATTAATTGATTGATTGGTATACAAACACCTATCTCCTACCTACCTACTACCTACCTGTCTGTCTGTCTTTCTGTTCATCTCAATCTCATCTCATCTCAATCTCAATCTCAATTCAATTCAATGAATAGGCAGGCAGATATCCAAGCAAGCCAAGGTTCATCCAAGGTTATCCAAGGTCATCCAAGGTTATCCAAGGTAATAAATAGAATCAGTAAGTAAGTAAAAGTTTATCCAAGGTAATAAATAGAATCAATAAATAAGTAAAAGTACGAGTAAACAAATGAGAAATTTGGTTTTTGGAGTATGGTATGGTATGTATAATATATGGACTTGTTTGCTTGGGGATTGGAGGTGAATAGTGAGTACCTAGTAAGTAGTGAGTAGTGAGTGTAATTGGTATTGGTAGTGGTAGTGGTAGTGGTAGTGGTAGTAGTATTACGATGAATGATATTGTTAGATACCTACTGTAGGGTAGATAGGTATGGAGTAAAATAGATAGAAAGATAGTAGATAGGCTCGCTCCAAGTATTTAGATAGATATGAAACGCGACTAAATCAAACAGTTTGTTGATCTTCATCTCCAGCTATGAGAGGTGATACCAAATCTCGTTCTTTTATTCAATCCCTCATTATTAACCTATTCATATGAAAATGAAAATGAAAATGAAAATGAGATTTCGAATTTCGAATTTCGAGTCTCATGTCCCTACCTCATTGGTTAAATAGTTTGTGTATATTGTGTACAAGTATAGAAATCAGCTTCTAGAACCCCTCCAATAATTAATCCTTTTATGTTATGGCATATCATCTCAAATCAAAATTAAATAATGGGGTCATCAATACGACCCCTAAAAACAGCCGTTACAACTTACCTCGTATCAGCGAAGTGAGAAGTGAGAACCCCTTTGAAGATCGGAGGATGGAAAGGGATTGAAAATGTAACTTGTAACATCAATCCTTGTTGGAAGGAATCGGCAATTCGTGCATGGGAATCTGGGATTCGGGAGATGTGGGAGGATGGAGTAGGGGGGGAGTAGTTGGGTTGGGTTGGATGTGGAAGGAATATATATCGTAGTATTGTGGTGTAGGTAGTCATGAGGAGTTACGCGCTGAGAAGTATCATTTGGAATAACACAACCAACAGAAATTGGAAATGATCTTGATTTGATGTGTGGTTTGGCATGTAGGAATTGGCTGTGAGTTGTTGGGGGTCACGTAGGATTATCACGTTTGAAATGATGATTGACTTGTGGTTGAATTTGAGGTTGAAATGATGATTGCCTCGTGGTGGGTTGATTTGGAGGTTTGGATGGATGGAGATGGAGATGAAAATGGAGAAGACGATGATCATTATGATTTGATGATGGCATGTTTGAGAATTGAGAATGGAAGAGTCAGGAGTGGATCCTGAGTATGAGAGTGGATCCCCAATTCGAGTTGAATCGTTTGATGATTGATGGTTTGATCTTGGATCCCGATGCGCTCTGCTTCTTTTCTTGGGGAATTATGGAGAGAAGAGTGAGAGAGTGGATTGGAGTGGAGATGAGATAAATGGAGTCGTGTTTTATATTTAGTTTGGAATTGATTGATTGGCGTGATTGTTTGGTTATGATGATGATTGTTGTGATGATTGTCGTGGTGATTGTCGTGATGATAATGTTCAATGCTTTTTTGACCAGGTGGTTTGATGATGATGTGATGAAGTGTGATTTGAGGGCAAAGTTAGATTGATGAATTTGTTGATGATGATGATGTTGGTGTTGGTGTTGATGTTGATGTTGATGTTGATGTTGATGTTGATGTTGATGTTGATGTTTTTTGATGGATGATATGATATAACATATTTACTAATAAGTCATTAGAGAGGAATGAAGAAACTGTATTTAGAAAATACCGTATATCAATACATCAATACGAGATATGCATTGATGAGTAAGGTCTTTTACCAAAATCATAAATCAACTACTACCCAATTAAGTAATAACCCAACTAATCATCCCATCTAGAATTAAACTTATACTTCACCTGCAACCTTATTCAAAGATTGAGGCACTGAGGTATTGAGGCTGTGCTCATTCATTACATGAGTTGTACGGAAAGATAATGAGAGACATCTTCCTACGGTCGCTCGTAGTCACGGTACTCCGTACAAATCCATTTCCACGCTTCACTCTCTCCCGTACCCAATGCCCATCTCTAGCCCATCTCTCAAAATAAACCTCAACACGAGCCTTTCCCGACCCAGAGATCCAATCAAAGGAAAGTGGAGTAACGATTGGCTGTAATTAATCCTGGCCGACTATAAAGTTCGGACCCATTGAATAACTCTAAACCTTGAATGCCAAGCGTAAACTCCTGATTATCACTATGGTCGGAAAAGATCTATACTGCATGAGGCTTAGCGCCCATCAAAAGGTTGGAAAGGTATGGCCTTCGAAGTTCGAACTTCGAATTGGAACGAATCCAAGCCAGAAAGTAGGTAATTAGGTAATCTTGGCTGTGAAAGATTCCAGATATTCTGGACGCATCCCTTTTTAATAAAACTCTCTCTTCTCTCTCTCTCTCTCTCTCTCTCTCTCTCTCTCTCTCAATTCTCTTTTCTTCTTCCATTAATACATCAAAACTTTCTTCTCCAACCTCTCCAACCTTCTTCCATTGACTTTTTTGGCACTGTCGTTCGTTGTAGTTGCCATTTTATTATCACTCTTCTAATTGGATCCTTCTTGAATTGCTTCTCACTCACTTTGGAGCATTCACCAACCCGTTTACACTTGTAACCATTTTTCCCTTTACCTCAGTCGATTTCTCTTGACCGTCAACTTCTTCCGTATCCTTCCAACGCGTCGAAATCGAATCAATTCAAAAGATTAAATTCAAAATGAAGACTTTCAACACAATCGCTACTTTGGCCGCTGCTGGCTCTGCTTTGGCTGCTCCATCTCCAGTGGAGAATTTGGCACCAAGAGCATCATCTTC